GGGACTGATGAGGAGAGGCCTGGCATCCAGGCCTGATTTTATAGCACCACGGTCATCTCTGTCTAGACAAAACAGAGCACCCTAATAGCCAGTCTGTCTTAGACATCTCCAGTTAGAGGTCAGGATTTAGAAGTTCTCTGAAAGAGTCATGGAGTGAGCATGTGTAGAGTGGAGCCAGGTGGGAAGAGCTCATCCCATGGGGGACAAGCGGTTCCTCAAGGCAGTCACCTTCCGCAGGGGTGCAGGATCAGCTCCCAGCTCGCTGGTGGGCGCGTAATAATGTCCATCAGGGCCTTGACAGTGTGGGCTTACAAGGCGTGAAATCAGTCTCCTCAACAGCCCAGATCTTGTAGATAGATGAGAAACCTTTAACCTGGATGCTGTGCTCTGGCCTGTGTGACGGTGGGTGGCCTCAGCAGCTCCACCTCACACGGGAAACATAACAGCCTTAGAGGGGCGTTGGGGAAAAGGAGTTTTCTCAGGTAAAGCATAGGACTGTGCTGGACACTGGGAAGGGTGTAGCGAGTGTCGCTGTCATCTCAGCCAGTCCACACTGCTCAGAGCGGGGTTTCATGCCACAAGCTGCTGAGGTCTCAGCTCTCCTTGACCTGACCTGTCCACCACATGCACATCAGCCACTCTGAGGACTCTGCCCACAGTCCGCAGAGCTACACACAGTGTCTTGCTGGTGGGATCTGGGGACATTTCCAGAACAACTACTCTGAAGGTGCATGGTGAGCACGGTGTGATTGCATGTTGTGGTACAAACACACAAGGACCTGTGCCATCTAGTTCATCTGTTGATCTGCCCAAGCAGGCAGAGCTCCGGTCTGAATGCGCTGGAGGGAGACTGGTTTCCCTCACAGCAAGGATCTCCATTACATATGTGCCGTTTAAGTACCTTTTTTTTTTTTTTTTTACTACATTTTGTAACAAAGCAGAAATGTAATAAATACTACACAATGATAAACAGTTTAGATTTTTATCTTTTCTGCTCCTCTTCCCGTTTTGCATATGAAGAAGAACATCCCTGGGCCTGGAGATGATTTGGCGGTGGTTTTTTGCTGACTTGTTGGATTTGATGTTCAAACTAGACTGGGTGGCAGGAAATGACTTTGAAAACAGGGCACCGTTTCATTCAGTGGGACTCAGCAGGACACTGCATTTTGCCAGTGTCTTTGAAGGCACAGCCTTGTCCTATGTTGTAGTCAGGGTTTACAAGGGAAAATATTTAATAGAAGATGCATAATTTATAGGATTATTTTATAATATTCACCCAAAGTGTCAAGAGCAAAAGTGCGGGAAATCTGTCCACATGCTACAGATGCAAAGAATCCAGCTGAGGCCTGGATCCCATGGCAATGTCTTCCATGAGTCCAGCTGGAGGCCTAGAGCCCATGACAATGTCTAGGCAGGTCTGTATCAGGACTGTGCATTGGGAAGGCCCAAATGTCAGTGGTGGAAGCTAGAAAGTCTGTGCCAGCAGGATGAAGGATCTGTGCCAGCAGGCTGAGGGATCTGCACCAGAGCCAGGAAGCAACACTCAAGGTAAGGACCAAAGCTCCCCTAAAGGGAACTGCAGCCATCCTCAGCAACAGCAAGGACACAAGCTCCTTCGATGATGAGAACAGTCGAGTTCATGTTTCCTGGTTCAGGAAAGCCAGCATGACAAGCTTCTCCAGAGGAATCAACAGTATACTGTCTTCCCCTCCAGTTCTGCTTTCATGCTGTTTGCAACAATCCTCAGTGGCCTCTCCACACCCAGAACCATGCTGGTCAGTTCAGCTGTGTGTTACAAGTTGCCCGTTATTTAATCCAACACAACCCACCCCTGGTCAACTTGACAACCAGACACATTTCCTTAAACCATAGTCTCCAGTAGCAGATTTGTGAAAAGTTAATGTCTTTGTCTAGTCAGATTTACATTAATATAACAATTACATATATACAATTCTTCTTGAACTCATTTCCTCACCAAAAGCAAAATGTTCAGAGTGTTCACAGTTCAAAGTTAAAACCATAATACTTTGACTAATTAACTTGATTACAAAAATATTTCTAAAAACTACATTAAAATATTAAGAGAGCTATTACAATCACAGTCTGCGTTTCCCATTAACTTTTAACAACAGGGCCTGGAACACTAAGACACCCATGGGATTTGCGTTTCAGATGCACTTCTCCCTCCTGGTGAGAGGCCTTAGGTCATTTGTCATTGTCCTGTTCCTTGTCAACAGCCATGTTTTCCTCCATTTCACTCTTGTAATCCACAGCTCCATTGGAGCCTTACCTCTGGCCAAATGCTTCAAATCACCCTGCTGTTTCTTTGCTTTTAATTTCGACCCTGGATCCAGCAAAAACATTCAGTAACCATGCCACCATCCCAACAGTAGACTGCTTTGAAATTTTTCTTCCACCCAGGCAGTATCTCTAACACAAGCAGAATGCAGACCAGCTTCCTACCAATGCACAACATGTACCACCTGGGATCCAGCAGCCAATGCAGTTCTTCTCGATAGAAGCCTCCTGAGTCTCATCTTAACCTGCAGCATTTCTATCAGTACTCTGATTTTCCAGCTCTGATCAGAGTCTCCATACAGTTTATAGTGTGCAGTGGCTGCCTCCTCGAACAATCTCTCAAAACCTTTCCAAATTAATTCCCAAGGCTCATAAGCCACATCACCAGGCAACCACACAGCACTGGCCCCACTCCTTGTACCAAATTCTATCTTAGTTACTTGTCTTGTTGCTGAGACAAAATATCCAGCGCCCAAAGTTAAGGGAGGAAAAGTTTATTTAGTTCACAGTTTGTGGAGGTTTCAGTCTCTAACCCACTGGATCCAAGGCAGGGTGGCACACGGCAGAAGGGCAGCCGTTCATGGCAGTAGAAGACAGCAAAAGCAACAAGAGGAGGTGATCTATAGGGCAGGTGTGGCACTCACACACTTAATCCCAGCATTGCAGCTTGAATCAATCAAAAACTCTAGATTCAGCCAAAAAAAGCCTAAGACTGTGTGAGACTTTGGGGGGACATCTAGACATAAAACATAATATCCTGTATGTTGGATAATTATTTTCTTAGTAGGGGTGCAGAGCAGAGGGAAGCATGCTTTTATTCTTCATATAAAAAGCACCATGAGGGTGTTTTTGTACCTCCCTGCATCCCTTTAAGCCCTGGAGGCCTCAAGGAATTTCTGGTTTTAGCAGGAATTTGGGCTGGTGTCTGAGTCCACGGGGCGAGGGTCCCTGCCGTGGAGCTGGGCTTGGTCCTGCTTGTAGAGCTGGACTTGCTGGTGGGGGGCCTCTCTGGATGGGCCTGGTCCCAGAGCCTTTGAGACTCTGGGAATATGGTGACGGGGAGGAGATGCTCCAGTGCAGGGGGAGGAGCACTTCGGAGGGAGCCGAGCCTGGAAAGAAGCCCGGGTCATTGCAGATCCCGCTTGGCCTGAGTGTGTGTGGCAGGCAGGTCTATGTGTGGCAGGCAGGTCTCAGCTCACACATTCCCTGGGAACACATGGAGAAGGAGCCAGCTCATTCCAGCAGAAGGGTGCTCAGGGCCAGGTGCTCAAGAGGAGAGGGCTGTGCACCCAGCCCTGGTTCTCCTCTCCGGAGCTCGATGGTCACCCGCGTGCAGAGTCTCTCCTCCTTCTGACACCAGCCCACGACAGTCTGTCCTTGCCCTTCCCTGAGGTCTGTGGATCCGCGTCACAAGCACAGCTCCTGGGGCGGTTCATCCTCCGGGGCAGCTGCTTGGTGAAGCAACAGTGGGGTTGGTGGTGGCACTTTGTCAAGTTGGTTTATAATTTCACCATACTTAAAATGAGAGCATCTGATGCACTTTTCATGATATTTTCAGCAGTAAATACTGTCTTTAAAAAATACAAACCAGAAATGTGTTTTTCCTTCCTTTCCATCCCACTGTCTGTGGTGTTGGGCTGTGGCCCGTCACCGCCTCTTCCTCCTGCTGCCCGTTTCTTTTATTTGCAGTGCTAGGAGTTGAGCCCAGGGCTGCACAGGCTGCATGAAAACTATTTTCATGTCAACTGTTATCAAGCGAGATTTTCCCTCAAACAAGTATGCTTTTGGTGTTATTTTGAATTTGTGTTGTGATTCTTCAAAAGTGATGATACCAGCACTTATTTTCATATGTATTTCACTTGTCTCTGATACTTCAGAAACAGGTAGAAGCTGGGAGCTGTTTCTCTTCAGCAGTGAGGTGAATGATGCTACCTTGGCATTTTCTTTGTTACAGAGAGGATGGAACATCTGATATTGCTAGCCACAAAACAGTACGCTGAGGAAGACACCTGTCGTTTCTGCCAAGTGGGGTCTTGGAATGTTGGGTGCTTTTCTTTCTGGGAAAAGTGCTTTCCCCTCAAGCTGAGCAGCCTGCTCTGGAACTCACCCTTCTGCCTGCTTCCGAAAGGCGCCTGGAGGTACTGCGCAGCACGTGGTTTCTCCTGGTGGCCATGCTCCTGCCTTTGGTGGTTTCAGAATGTCCCCCTGCGCTGGGAAGTCAGGGGGGCAGTGCTGGCCTCTGCGTTCCTGCTGGTAGAAATATGATGGTCAGAGGCTAAGGTCAGGTGCAACTGCAGATGATGGTGGATTTGAGTTCATGACCTTTGGAGACCAGACATTGACCTAGCAATAAAATAAACTGACTGTTTATTAATGGCAACTTATAGCCCAAACTGCTGGCATCAGCTGTTTCATAGGCCCGTGAGTCCAACACTGTCCGGTGTGCTGCAGAACAGAGTAATGAACGATGGCAGTGTGCTGGTGTGGGTTTCCGCTGACTGTTTCTTCTTGAGCATTATGGGTGACCTGAGGGCCAGAGAGGAGACCCCAGGCCTTTGTTGCCTCACTCCTGTGACATGCACACAGCTGTGGTTATGGCTGTGTGTAATCTGCTTAGCTCGAGGTGCTACCCCTGGGAAGGCCAATCTGACACGTGCCCTCTCATTCCATTTACTGTTAGAGATATACAGTGAGGAGCTCAGCGGAGAGTGTCAGTCCCTTTCTTTCTCACAGTGATTAAGGGTGAAGCGATTGCCTTGAATAACTTTCACCCACGGGTTCCCGCGCCCACAGAGCCACTCCGCTTTAATGCTGTGACAGGAGGGAAGGTGAACAAGACAAGGCTTTGTTCCTCAAGTCCTTTTCTATTTCAGCTGACTTTTACAGGTCACGTCAGGTTTCCTGGGGCTGCTGAGCCTGGGTGGGAGCTACTTCATGCAAGATGGTGATGGTAATATCCACCGAGAGCTCACAGAGCCACCCCTGATCAGACAGGGGAGCCTGGTCACTGCCCCGGACAGCTTGTGTAGTGAGAGGGTCCTACCCTGCAGGCCTTTCCTCACACCCTTGCTGGCACCTACTTATGTGCATGTGTGTTTTTCCTACTGTCTGTGTCCCACATTCCTGAGGGCCGGGAGGATCTCACTGCACAGACTGTTCCAAGAACTCTTCCCCAAGTAGGGGCTCTGTAAATACGGGTTAAGCGAGTGAGTGAACTTTTTGGTAGGGGTAATTTTGCAGGGTGTGTAAGACTGCATGTTGGAGACACAGCTCAGGTTAGAGTATTTGCCTAGTGTGTGCAGGGTGCTGGGTTACATCTCCAGTGCTGGGGGGAAAAGTACAGCCGTTGAAAGGTGTTGGAAAGCAGTTTTAGTAAATGGAAGCTGGAAGCAAAGCTTTTGTAAATGGGGAGAGGAGGAAGGGTTGCAGGGAGGGTAGGGGAAGGGGAAAAATTAAGTTATATCATGTACAGGTACAGATTCTCTCGATGAATATGATCATTATGTATGCCTAAAGTCTACCAATAAAATCTGATTAAAAAAATAATGTGGAGGGCTAAGCAGCCATAGTCGCTCTGAAGCGTAGCCCCTCCCTATTTCCACATCTGTGGAGCTGAGAATCGAGTCCCAGCTGACCTGGCCTTGTGATTGCCAGTTTTGCTTTCTCTCTTGTGGGCCCGTAACGTGGCGTCTTACAGTTGTACCACTTTGGGTGTGACTGAGCAGGGTGTGTAAACAGAAGCAGAGGAGGCGAGGTGTGAGCCCAGAGGGAGAAGTGGTCAGTAAAGCGCGAGCCTGTTAGCAGTGTTTCCTTCTGGTCGGGAAGTTAGCATACCTGTTCTTTTCTTCCCTGTAGTCTTTTTTCTTTATCTTCTTTTTTATTCTGCTTCTTTAGTTTTACAAAAGCGTATTGTTTTGTAAATTATATACTGTCAATATGGATTACTTTGTTTAATCAGTAGAAATTAGCCTAAAGTCACTCTGCTGAACCTGGTTATTCCCTTTGTGTGGGCACAGAGGAGCTCTGAGAATGTTCTACTCAGCCTTCAGAAATGTTTTTTTTTTTTTTTTTTCTCCTTTTGAGACAGGGTCTCAGTATGCAGTTCAGGCTGGCCTTGAGCTCACTTTGTAGCCCAGGCTGGTCTCGAACTCGCAACGATCCTCCTGCCTCAGCCTCCCGAGTGCTGGGGTTACAGGTGTGAGCCACCATGCCCGGCTAAGCCTTCAGAAGTGTGAAACTGCCTTTAAAACCCCAGGAAAGTTTTTGCCTGTGATGAGTGGGTGTATGCCTGCTTTCTGCTTTACCTTCCTGACTTCATTGCACTGTTTTCTTTCACTAGGGAGGTAACTCACTGTCGTCTTAGCACGATGAGCCATGCCTCTCACAGTGCTGTGGGTGAGCCACTGGGGACACTGAAATGCTTGACTGCCCTGTCGGGATCTGTCCCTGATGAAGGATGACTCTTCACTGCGTTTGTGGTTACTCTGCCTATAGGCTGTTGAAGAGCCCGGCCTCTTATTTCATGTTGAGACACACAGGGAGACTAAGTTACTCACAGGCCTAGTTGTTAGCCCATTGTATGTGCTATGGGACTGAGCATTCTTCAGAGTTTCTCTGTGCAGCCACTGTTTCATCATTTGGTTCTAGAACATTTACAGATTTTATAATGTATATTACAGCATGAACGTTACATACACTAATTCTTAATGGAGCATTTCATTCTTGGATTAGAGAAATTTAGGTTGTTCATAAGCATAACATCATGGTAGAAGGGAAGGGAAAACTCTCCCTTACAGAATAATTCCTGTTAAAGCATATAGAGGAATAAGGAAAGTAGGAAGTCAGTTGGTATGGGTAAGATCTATTCGTGGGTACTAAAACCATCACACACAGATAGTTTCAGAGTGTTTGTCCAAAAAGGACACAGCTCTGTCAGGAGATAGGGAACCCATAGGAAACAGCTGGATTGCAACTTGAGAGCTCAAGCAACCAGGCGAACCCCCCAAATACTGGTAATTAGAAAGTTAAGTAGGAAGCCGCACTGGCACTGCGTGAGTGGCTGCTCAGAGGGGAGGGGAGTTCCCCTTGCACTAGGTGTTAAGAGGAAATCCAGGGTATGCTTGTGAGTGATGCCTTTGCCAGTAAGCAAAACAAACTTGGTTCAGCCAAGTGATCAGGGATAGGGTGATAATTCCCAGCCTTTCCCTATGGATTAAATATCAGGTGGAGGGTCCCTAGCCTCAGAACAAGCTGGAGACAGACTTAGAACTGGTATGGGGAGCATCTTAAGTAACTTCCTGTGCTGCTTCAGAGTGGTGTGGAAGAACACAAAACCCCTGCGTTTTTATGTCTCCGGGATATAAGAGCCACTTCTCTGCTGGACACAGTGGGCACCCTCTCTGTTAGCTTGGGCCTGGGAGAGTGGTGATGATGACACAGTAAACTAACATCATGGGATTGGAGGAAGCGCTCCCGTGCCTGGCTTGCAAGAGACCGTACTCTGGGGTGGAAAAGCCCTGTGGTGCAGCCAGATGGTGTGAAACCTGGCCGGAATAGAGCACACTCGGCTAGGTGGAGGGACATGCAGACAAAACAGTGGCAGCTTGAACATTCTGACGGGAAAAGAGTTAGTCTTTGTGATGTGCTGCAGTGTAGGGTGAGGGGTCTGAGTCTGGGAACACCACTGCTGGACCAGCCAAAGTCTGGGAGCTGATGGCTTCTCATTCCAGAGCAGACCCTGTGCTCCCTACCATGTGCCCTGCTCAGGGGACACTTACAGTAATTGTATTACACAGATACCAGCCAGCTCTCCACGAGCATGGCCCGTGATTTCCAGATCTTTGACTCACAGTCGGGACCTGTCTGTAAATACGAGAATGAGTTTTGGTAGACCACCCAACCTTCATTCCTAAGTATAGAAAAACTTAGATGTTGAGTGTGATCCAGTCCCATTACTGAGAAGCCCACATGATCACCCATTTAACCATGGCAGGGTTGAGCTCAGCCTTTGGGTGTCCTAAACAACTCTTCCTACTTGGACAGAGTGAGAAGGAAAACTCTGGACTAAAAAAAGTTTTCATATTCCTCCTTTTATGAGGTGACACTCAACAATAGAAGTGCAAGGGGAATAATTGTCTGTAGTATAAAGATTCCACAAGAGCAGTATTAGATGTGTGTATGTGTGTGTGTGTAGATATGCATAAATGTTACTGCTTTTGGTTCTATTGTGTGTTACCTTGTTTTGTCCTGTTTTCTCACACCAAGTGTTGTTTCATAGGGTTTTATAATTCTGTATTTCTGCTAATTCACTAATTGGACCCAATCTCCCTGTATCTTCTGTCACTTTTTATTTATAGTCCCTTTTTTCTTTTCTCCCCCTCTCATATGCTTTCAGATTCTTCTCCTTCCCTCCTTTCCATGTGTATAAATATTATCATTAAAGCCTAATTTGGGGGGTTTCTTTGGCCTTTTTTCCTCTCCTATCCTTCCTTACAATATTACTCTCTCTGTTTTCCTGTACTGGTAAAATAATATGGAACTTTTAAAATAGATTTAAAAATATATGTTGATGTATAATTCATTCTTTAGATGTTGCTATTACTGTTGTTCTGTCCTTGCAAAGCAGTGCTGGAGATTGGACTTAGTACTTTGAATAGGTTGAATGGGTGCTGTGGGACATCCACAGCCTAGGTATGTCACAAAGAAAAAGCCACTTGTTAAAAAGATTCCTTCACCACCACCACACACAGTAGCCAGATGGTGTGAAACCTGGCCGGAATAGAGCACACTCGGCTAGGTGGAGGGACATGCAGACAAAACAGTGGCAGCTTGAACATTCTGACGGGAAAAGAGTTAGTCTTTGTGAGGTGCTGCAGTGTAGGGTGAGGGGTCTGAGTCTGGGAACACCACTGCTGGACCAGCCAAAGTCTGGGAGCTGATGGCTTCTCATTCTAAATGATCTGCAGACTTCAACACAGAAAACACAAGAATCATGAACAAGGCAGTAAGATGCCTTCACAAATTCTTAATTCCTGCAGAACTGACCCCACTGATACTTTGAAGTTGATGAAACTCTGAAAACTGATAGTTAAAATTATTGAGATGAGAGCAGATACAAATAATCAACTGAGTGAATCAGTTATTAAAATAATCAGTGAACTTAAAAAAGATACAGATAGCTGAATGAATTATGGAGGAGAATGCAGGATATGAAAGAGCCCACTTCAGTAAACACAAGTACTAAAAAAAACCAAACAGATTTTCTGGACATGAAAAACATCAATTAGGCAAATTAAAAAACTCAATTGAAATTTCAACAATAAGATAGATGAATCAAGAATATCGGAGTTTGAAGACAAAGTGGCTGGGTATATTAAATATTCAGACTGTTATAAAGGACAAAGAATAAAAATGAAAAGGTTATTCAGGAACTCTGGAACAACTCTAAAAGAATACATTTAAGACTTACTAGTCCTGAGGAGACTGAGGAGGTACAGCCAAATGGCATAGAAAACATATTCACTGAAACTATAGCAGATATTTCTCCCATGTATGGATTGTGGTGGATATTCAGGTACTGGAATCCCAAATAGACATGAACAGAAACCTCTCCATGACATATTACAGTCAAATTGCCAAAACTTCAGAATAAGAAAAGATTGTTAAAAGCTATTAGAAGTCCAGATCACTTATGATGGAAAATCCATGAGAATAATAGCAGATTTTTTCAACAGAAACTAAAGGCCAGGAGGATTTGGAATGATATATTTCAAGCCCTGAAAGAAAATAATTGCCAACTGAAGATTACACAAGGCTGCCCTTCAAAATC